ATATGATATATGTTCATATGATAATGTGGCAGTTTTCTTATTGGTAGTTACTGTACATTCTTATGGCCCGCTAGGGCAGTGGTTCTCAAAAGGTTTGTCTGTGACACAAAAACAGATCTCCTGTATCTTCCTGTATCAATTAATGTCAATATCAGAGTGTTCAAAAATGTCAAAAAAATGAAACACACTCAGTATTTTGGCCCAATGTTTCATCTTCCATATAATAGCCAAGCGTTAACATTATAAATCACACTTCTGCTGTTTATGGATCTATTTTTGTTGTGTTAGTCTAGTTAGATGGTCTTATGCAGTTTGACAATATCAATAACTCTTGTTTTTTAAGCATAATTTTGGTAGTGTGTTGGATCACTACGGGATTTTAAATGTAAAATCTTGGTCCTGAAGCACCATCTGAAAACCACTGATCTACAGAATGTTTAAGACAACATCCATCAGGAATATTTCAAGCCACCCAAAATTGAAACATTTCATTGTTTAACCTAGACAGTACTTGATTCGTTTGCACTTAAAAAAAAAAAGCAACCCCTCACTGGACGATAGATTTTTAGATAATCCTCTTCACTTTGTTTACTTACATGGACCAAACTACACTTTGATAAATCTGGATTATATATTAACTCAGCTAGACTTTTGAAAAAGCATTGCAGGTTTCTTAAAATTCGTAATGTACTTAAAGCTGATTTAAAAGGTAGTAATGCATGCTGAAATTATTTTAGGGGGTCCTTCATAACATCATCTGTTATTAAACCTTCAAATCTGTAAAGTAATAAAATAGACTGGGCTATAAAATCGTACCCTTTTTCTCATAGAGGGCAGCACTCATTCTTCGCAGTATTAGATCAGTTTTCGAGTTGGCAGGTAATGTTACACAATCCTGATCTTTTTCGTGGTATAAAAAGGACCTGCAAAGCACATATACACAAATGCATACACATATATTTAATCATTATAGATTGGAATAAAGCCTCACTTGTTGACATTAGATCAGTCTAGTACCGCAGAATATGTTTTGAGAGTTTTGTTATGGTCTGACTTGCACCTGCATGTAAAAGAAGTCTCTTTGTTACACTTGACGGCACAATCTTCCACCGTTTTTGCTGTGTATTGACTTTTAGGTAATTTCACTATCCAGGCCCCATCTGTTTTTATATATGCTTCCAAAACATCTGCAGAATGAGAAAAGATGGGGAAAAGGATCAACTGAGTTTCAAGTCACAAACACATGATTTATTAGTATTGATGAACTTCTAAAATATAAAGATTTCAAACTAGATCAACAGAACTCTTTGTATGAAAGCATAAACTGAACACATTTGCAGATGAGCAGATCTTCTTACCTGTGCTTTCGCTGTGGCACCTGAGGAAATCTGAAGGGAATTAACATGATCATATCAATCATATACAAATAAATGCTATTAATTATAGGTTTTAGTCGGTTCATTTTATTATCTATAGCATAGAAGAAATAGTCTTATAATTAAGCGCTATAAATAAATATCTTTTGGCTTACCTGTAAAAAGGAAGAGACCAACTAAAAGAACTGCTTTGTGAATCTCCATGTCGGAGAATTGACAGGCAGGGACTTTGAGAGGTTTTCAATCTTTTAAGCATGTCAGTACAACAAACATCACAGGGCCGTCACTCATCAGTCAATCATTGTCCTAACAAGGACATGGACCAGGTCAAGATGTGTTTGTCGATCAGTGTGTTGTTTGAACCCACCATTACTCTTTCTGATCACATGATTTATGAGAGCTGGACTTTTTATGTGATCAACATCACTGGTTGTACTTGACATTAAGATAGTTTGGTACTAAAAAAATGCATTTAAAAAACAATGAGATATAGAGATAAAAGGACATGCAGATAAAGTCTTTAATTATTAGGCCACTGATTAAACAAACTGCTCGTTCTTGAGACCCAGAAAACTCAATAGTGTATTTAATTTAGCATTTAAAAAAATACAATTATGTATAAATTCAATCCTTTTAAAAAGTATATTCTCATCAATGTCACAAATCAAGTTAATTATCAACTGAGAAAACAGGAGCCGTCCTACGCTAACTCAATACACAAACAGAACAGCCTAATTTTGCAATTGTGAACACTGAGCCAAGCAACCATGAGAAAAACTAGTGTGATCAAGATTTGAGCTGAAGGGAAAATGGAGCAATTGTAACCAACATAGGCAAATAGTGTAATAGGACAAAACACTAGTTACGCTTGTTTTCCTCACTCTACCCCCATTCAGAAAAACAGTAGAAAGCAATCAAGGTTTGGCGTTTCAATCTGGTATCAGCGTCCACTGTTTACAGTTACTATAACTACTCCAGTTGAAGCTGTTGGGTGTAGAGTATGCATTGCTGTACAAATCTATGCATGTGTACACTTGCTTTAATCAGATTAAAGAATTGATCAAGGTAAATTGTAGTTTTGTTGACTTTAAATTGCAGATTAGATTGCATTATTCATTTTGTCATTTCAGTTTTGTTGTATACAGTTGTTCAAGGCTGTGACATCTTAAGATTTGTTAGGGTTATATTGATTTCACTTTGATTTTTTTTGTCCCTAACTACTGTTGTAATGATAACTGATAGAGATTTCATATCAACAATCAAACAAAAACCTCTTCCCCCAAAGTTCTACAGTCAAACTTGAGGGCAATGTCTGCAGAAATACCCCAAAACCGAACTGCGGTAGAAACCCGTATGAGACTATTTGGGGGACCCTTCAATCTGTCTGCTCTGTTGTCCAGCATCATGAGAGAAACCAGCCGAGCTGCCAGCTACGTCAAATGAGTGAATCTGAACCCGGTTTCCCATCTCAGTCTGTGAATTAGGAGACGCTTAAAGAACAGCAGAGATCTGAAATGGGAAGAGCCGCCTGCCAACCTGCCCAACATATGTCTCAAAGATACCATCAGGAGGTTAGTCTCGAGATTTTTGCTTTTTTTTTTGTACATTTGTTGTTTATTAGTTAGTGAGCATGATTAATTCTGAATGTGTCCTTTAGAATCGTCAGTAAATAATGTGCAGGTTGAAATTTGCAGGTGTGAGAGGGAGATGAAGCCACGTTTACAAAGTAATCAGCTGTCTCAATACCACCTTTAGATGGTGTTGTTATTAGTTTGTTAGTTGTTTATTAGTGTTTTGGTTTATTAACTCTCTTTTTTAATTATGAGTATGTTGGCTACCATAGCAATAAACTTTAGATGAAACATGTATGCAAAATAAATGCGAAAATGTTGGGGTAGTTGGACGGGAAGTGGGGTGTTGTCTGCTGTTACACGCTTAAAAATAAAGGTGCTTCATGATGCCATAGAAGAATCTTTTTTGTGGTTCCATAAAGAACCTTTAACATCTGAAGAACCTTTCAGTTTCACAAAAGGTTCTTTGTGGCGAAAGAAGGTTCTTCAGATTATAAAAGGTAAGAAAGAGATTGTTCTTTAAAGAACCTTTGACTGAATGGTTCTTTGTGGAACCAAAAATGGTTCTTCTATGGCATCGCTGTGAAGAACCTTTTATGCACCTTTATTTTTAAGAGTGTATGTTGCCACAAATGTAAAATTAAACTTTTACCCTAGCTGTTTTGTGCTCATCTGCTTCTCCCTTTTGCTCTTTTCAATCTATACAGACTAATACAATCAGATAAAACAATGATTTCTCAAATTTTTTTTTTGCAATATACACTGATAAATTTAACATTACTCAAATGAGATGACTGGATGCTTTCAACTTATTTCCTATGGAACTGTCACCAACTGAATTGCCATGATCAAACCATTTAAAATACAGTGAATTAAGCAACAAACTCAATCATAATGCACAATATTTCCATATAACTTTGAGGTTCAGCTCGTATTAATGGAATGTTTCACTAGTTAGCAGTAAGTTACCTCACCTGAACATGTTCATAGTTTTTTGTTGGATGTTTCGACGTGGAAAGCAGTTATCTTTGGAATGGAAATATGGATATTTGTAAAAAAAAAAAATCACACTTTTTGTGCTTATTTATTTCAGTTAATGTCATAAAACTAGCGAGCTATGCCGGTAGTAGTATCGTACAGGTCTAGTTTTCCAGGAGGTCATTAGAGAAATTTGTGTTTCACAGACATATTTGTGATTTGAATCCCATCCTAATCTGCCAAGTCTATGTTTTTCTCACACATCCTCTGTAATTAATCCAGAGCAATTTAGCTACTGTTGAGTTAGATGGGGGAAAGAAGTGTCATCTGCTGTTATGTCTGCACCAATCTCAAAATCAAACCTATGCCCTAGCTGTTAGCTAATATACAGTAGATGTAGATGTAACCTTTCTTTTTTTTTTTATCTCGATACAAATTTTGATTTTTACATCTGATCATATCACTTTCCGAACAGAATCCAGGCCAAAATGACAAAATTATCCTTCAGCTTCAAGTGAAGCAGTTGCAGAGGGTTTTACAGGAACAGAATGCATTGCTCTCTCTTATCAGTCCAGGTACGTTAGGAGAAACTCTTACATAATAAGGTTAATTAAAGGTAAAGTTATGATGGTTATGTTATTGAGAAAAGCATCATTTCAATTTTTCAATTCTAAAATGTTGTAGTTCTTATTCAAATTATATTTACAAGAAGATATGCAAATGACAGTTTTAATCTGTGATTATATCTGTGACATGAGCATTACTCTTTTTTTTAGTTTTACCCACCATCACTACAAATGCAGTGTATTTTACACTGTATGGTAAATGCACCACTCTTTTTCTTCATTACAGAACTTTCTCTTTCAGGACAGATTTTATCTCCCGCTTTCTTAGCGCACTGGCAAGTCCAGACACCTCTGAGCTTTTCAGAAGCTGATCCCTTCAACTCTACTGGGAATTTAGATGCCTTCAAGATAGGCTCATTCAAAGCCACATATTCTGGTGCGATTAAGAATGAGTCAGAGACTCTGGCAACTAGTAACACCAATGGTAAGAATCAAGAAGTCCCTTATCTTTATGCTCTTTAGAAAAATGTATTTTTACAATAGTGTGGGAATAAAATTCAATTTGAGATACCATGTTCTCTACATATCAATAGTCCAATCATAATTATACATGCGCAAAAAATGAAAACATGAAATTTTGCACATTTCATCCTCTGTGCCTGACAGAAAAGTTTCTTAAATCATACGTTTCCAGTTTCCAGACTACAAATCATGAGTCACATTTACAAATCTACATCAGAAAGTCCAATATAAGCAAGACGCGTAAACAGGAGGTGAATTAAAAATGAATTGACATGCTGCAGTGTGACATGCTACTTCATCTAAAACTACTTTTAAAAGCATATAGCTAATTGTTTTGACATTTTTATGCATTGGACTATTTGTACATCTGTCACACCGCAGGGCCGTTTAAAATGAACTAGAATGCAGAAAACAAATGTGATTTTAAAATGGTCACAGTGCCTAAAACATACACTTCTGCAATTTATACATTCCTAAAAATTTTAACCTAAAATCCAGACTTTTATTTTTTTTTTTTAAAAGAAACATTTTAAAAATAAATAAATCTTAGACATGATACTGTATGTGTCAACTACCCATTTACTATTCAAAATGTTTAAGCAAAATGCAATTGCAAGAAACCAATTTCAACATCCTTTTCGAAGCATCTTGTTTTTTACTTAGTTCAGTCATCTGCAGTATCTTCTGAACTTTCCGGTTGCTCCTTCTCCAGCAGGAAGGGAAGATATATTGATATATACAGCTTCTTAAATTTACTGCTGCTCAGGCAGTACAGGATCGGATTCAGCAGACAGTTCAGATAAGAGAGACAAACAAGCCCATCGTACAGTTTAACGACAGTAACTTTTTCCTCTTTCATCACGAGCCCACTGATCTTTAGTTGCACCGCTCTTGTAAAGGCATATGGCAAGAAGCAGACAGCAAAGATGAGAACCACCGAAGTGACGAGGAACATCACTCTCCAGAGTTTAGTCTTGTCGCCCACCGACTTCTGTTTGAGTCTTTTGATAATCTGTATAGAGCAGTACACAAGAACAAAAAAGGGGATGAAAATCTGAGTAAAAAACACAATTTCCCTCAGTAGAACAATGGGGCTGAGTTTCTCATCTTTTTCACTGCTGTTGCATCTGATAAAACTTTGCAACATGGCCGGAATGGTCAAAATTCCCAGCAGCACCCAGATGAATACAGAAATCTGAGGCGATCATTTCAAAATCCTCAGAACTTTCCTCTTCTCAGGATGGACCACGCTAATATATCGATAAATGGAGATGACCGTCAGGAAGGCGATGCTGGCTCCTCGGTTGAGAAACTGCAGAAAGAGCTGTACTTTGCACACTACTTTCTGTTCACTGCATTGCTGAAAGTTATATGCCTTTACGGGCAATCCAATCAGCAACAAAATATTAGCCAGGGCCAGATTGAACAGGAAAATGTTAATGGTCTTAGATTTCCAGAACTTGAGCTTAAAGATTAAGAGATGGATAACTGTAATGTTCAGCAGGAGACCCAAGATGAACTCCAGCATTACCACAGAAGTGTAGAAAATATACAGCGCTCGGTTTTGGTCGACGTTCTCCTGACAGTTTGTGTCGATGTTGTCCGGTGTTGGCTGTATGGAGTTGTCCATATTCTCCAAATTTTGATTCCGGGTCCAAAGTGATTTCTAATGTAAGTAGACGACACAACTGTGAACGTCTGTTCTACCAAAGCAGAGCATTTTAAAGCTGCTCAGACCTGAAGGCAAAGCACTTCCTCTGCTAGAGCATTCAAGTCTGTACCTGTTGAGAAGCTATAGTAAATGCCTGAAGTCACGAACTGCTGTGAAAAAAAGGCCGTCATCAAAGACAACTAATGTTTAAATCTTTTATAGAGCACTCGGTGAGCCTCACTGATAATGGACAATGGACAAAGCTTATGCACACTTTAAAAAAGCAGCTAAAGACATATATATAGTCATGTGTATTTGCAAAATCATATCTCATGAGAGCAGAGCATATTCTGGCAGTACAATTGTGGGGTGTGTTGACTTTACTGTGCAAGTTATAACAAATGTACACTAAAAAATGTGATGGTTATTGATGGCTTCTGTCTTAAACACCTTAGTTTGTATATTAGGACTATTTAGTGGCTTGTCCAGACAGGCCTGAGTAGACTGAAGGGTTTTTGTGAAGAAAATTAGCTGAGGGGCAAATATTGCCTTTTTTAGCAAAAGGACATGACCTGTTTAAAAGATTTGCCATGCCTCCCATTTCCACAACAAGCTGATTTTTACAGTAGTTCAGTATTCTTAACCATGCAGACGTTCACTTTTAAGACTATATCTTGCATAATGTTGGAAAAATGAATTGCATTACATTTGTTCCTTGAAGTTCGGGTTACCTCATTTATGTTTGGTGATAATATTACATGAGATTTCGATTTGCATTGCAGATGTTGCACCATCAGCAGAGCTCAGACGCTTGTCTCCTATTAAGGAAGAGTCTTTAGAACCTGCACAAGAAGACTGTCCTCTTAGCCCTTTCGGATCGAGGCAAGGTCTCCCACCAAACCCAGAGGAAAGGTATTATATGATGCAAAAATATATATTTATAAAACAGACTGTTTTGAAGTTTCATGGAAGCTGAGTAAAGTTATAATCACTGTGGGACATCGATGAGAATGCACAAAGTTCCATTAATTACTTTATCAATGACTCGACATGTGGATCAAGGTGTGATTACTATAAAGAAAAGAACAACAAAAATATCAGTTACAAATCTAAATCATCAAACACTAATACATTGCTGGTCATGCAACAACAAATTCCTCTCATTATTACCAAGGTTTCAACAATACATCAAATGATCAAATATTCAAACATACAACAAACAATATCCATGGATATAAAATTGATTATGGTTAATGTAACTGAAATTCTTGTCTGCAGTAATGGCTGCTAAAAAATTCAGCTTTGCAATCACAGGAATAAATTACATTTTAAAATATATAAAAAATAAAAAAGACCCATTTTAAAAATTTTAATATTTCACAAGATTAGGTTACTGTTGCATGCTTTCATGAGCATAACAGACTTTCAAAAAATGTTCATATCTTACAGATCACAAACTTTTGAACATTAGCGTAAATAAAAGAAATGTACACATTTAAAGGCTTTAAATAATATCTATTAAACACAGGCCTATTCGACCAGGACTGAGAGAATAGCCAAAAACATTTGAAGATTTTGTTGAAGAACATCTCAAAACAGACCAAGCTATTCTCCAACATGAGATTCAGGTATGAGCAGTCTTCAAAAAGTAACTTATACACAGTTTAAGTGTGTTCTAAGCAATATCCTCTCTATTTTCCAGAGTAATGCACAAATCAGAGGAGCAGAGAAGAGGAATTTCCTTCGTAAAGGAGAAGGAACATCTAGAATTACGAAGGGTAAGGACTGCTCACAAAAACTCCAGAGGAGATGCTCTGTTAGTCCACAAATAAAGCTCAGTCAGAAGACGATACGTCCCACTGAATTTCATCAGAAAGAGATACCAAATAGGAGCAGTCCTGGACTGAAGGGCTTAGGAAACTTCTGTGACCAAAGATCTGCCGTGGAAGACCCTCTAAAGAAGACCGTTGCTCTACAGGATGATGGTTTATCATCAACCAACAAAGGGAAAGTCAAAGCTTTGACTGCTAATAACAATGCAGTCTCACTTAAAAGTAAGCACAGTGTAGGAGTCTTGAGGAATTATGGTAAAACCAATGGAAGCAAGCCAAGTGGATCTGCTCTGGCACAAAGCAAAGAAAGTGTCGGCTTTAAACAAATTAATGACCACATTGTCAAAATCCCTGAGAAAAATTGTCTTACTACAAATTACCGTTTACACAGCCAGAGTGGTTATCCGTATAAAGAAGTCAATCTAACTGACGAGGTGATGGAGTCACTGGCTCTTAGCGATTCTCACGACAGTGCTAGCAGCGAGGACGGACCCAACTCTCAGTCTCACCGACCGTTACCTCATTACCTCTCAAGGCACACGGATCACAAAGATCAGAGTCTGGATTTGTCAGATGGTGACTATGCTAGTGACGTCCCGAGTGAGACTCGATTTAATGAAGAACATCACACTTCTACTCCTATGTCCAGTTCTTCAAGCTTCAGCAGCGATTCTGAACTTAAGAGCTTAGAAGGGTCTATGGCTAACTGCTCCAAAAAAACAGAAGAAAGGGGGACCGACAGTGACTTTAGACAACCTTCTGCTTCTGAGCTCCTCACAATGGAGTTCCCAAAAGTCAAAGTTACTTCGGAAGACACCACTCATTGCATGGGACAAGAGCAACCAGATACTCCAATCAGGTTTTGTAGAAAGATTATGATTTTACATAATAATATGACTTTTACTCTAGCCCTCAATCTCAAGTTTCTATCTCTGAATTCACATATTCATTAATTTGACTAGGGACGAGATGGGAGAGCATGGTTTTATTGGTGAGGATGGCTGCAGGCCTTTGCTTAGGCTTAAGAAAGAACTTCATGAACCTCAGGTAAAATCAACAAGACATTTTAGACAAGTTTACATCATGTCTCAATGTGTAAGAATCCACTTTTGTTTCTCACATACAGTACTACTAAAAATAAAGGTTCCAAAAGGTTTTCACAATGATTCCGTAGAAGAACCATTTTGGGTTCCTCAAAGAACCTTTCACTAAATAGTTCTGAAAATAACCATTTTTTAATGTGGACAACATTTTAACCTTTTTCCACTTTAAATTTTTTTAAAATTTTTAAATTTTTATTTTTGTGAAGTGGAAATGTTTTATAGATGTTTAATTTTCTTCATGGAACCACTTGAAGAAAGAAATCAAAACGTTGATTTTTTTATACTGTCTTATCCTTAAATGGTTTTTCAATAGCGAATACATCCAAAAATACTTAATATGTTATGTTTAAATCTTTGTGCATGTAGGATCTGAGACTGCAAATCTCATCTCTGAAGCAGCAGTTGATGGAGAGGGAGTCTCACTGGCTGCAGGCCCACAGTCTCCTCCAGAGTTGTGTTGAAGCCCTCACCCGAGAAAACCAGGAGCTTCACAGCAGGCTCAATGTGAACAAGAGATCGCACCAGAGTGCTGGTTCCTCTACTCTTCAGTCTGGATCATACAGCACGGTCAGAGCAAATTCAAACCACCATTTTTCCACTAAAAATATCTAAACATATATGGAACACACACACACATATATACATATATATCAGGGCTCGACAATAAGGACTGCCCGATGGCCCGGGGCCAGCATGAAAGACATTCGGGACAGTAGACGGATTTGTCACTTGCCCGATCGGGCCACTGCAGCGTCGGCACGACATTTTATCATTTGCATGTGTTTTTAAGACTTGTTAATTAAAAAATGCAAGTCATTAAAAAGCATTTGGGTTCGAAAGACAACTCCTTTCAGTATTCGCGCGCTGTGTTCTGTGTGAACAGCGTGCGCACAGACAGCCGCATCTCTGACACACGCGAGCCGCCTGAACGGGCCAATACATACAAAAGTATGTCAAAATACCCATCCTGGCAAGTAACTTTGTAGCTTTAACAATGATTAATATATATTGAATTTATACACTGGAGAACAGATGCACCGATCTACCGGACATTTTTTGTTTTATTTCAGACTATCTTCTGTTCCGTGCTTGCACACAAACTGCACTGTAATCATTTACCCAATGGCTATTTGTGTGGCAATATTACGTTATTATTATACTTAATCCTGGCAAGTAACTTTGTAGCTTTAACAATGATTAATATATATTGAATTTATACACTGGAGAACAGATGCACCGATCTACCGGACATTTTTTGTTTTATTTCAGACTATCTTCTGTTCCGTGCTTGCACACAAACTGCACTGTAATCATTTACCCAATGGCTATTTGTGTGGAAATATTACGTTATTATTATACTTAGTCTGTAAACGGCCATTAACAGAGGCCAGAGATGCTGAATGTTGCGTTAGGATGGCTATTTGTCGAGTTTTGTGTTAAAACAAGCCAGGTGAGATGAACGTAATGACATTCGCAGCTTTCTGCCCATCAGCAGTTCTGCAGGACTATATCCATTGGCTAATGGTGTTGCCCGATACTCCATAAGAGCAAGGTATGGATCTGCTGCTTTGCTAAGAAAATCCTTCACAGTCCTCACTGCCCTTTCAGCTTCCCCATTGGCTTGTGGATATCTGGGACTGGACGTTGTGTGAGAGAAACCCCACTCTTTAGCGAATTTCTTGAAGTATTCTGCACTGAACTGTGGGCCATTATCTGACATCACTTCAGTAGGAATTCCATGACGAGCAAACATACTTTTGAGATGGGTTACTACGCATGCGGCAGTTGTTGATGACAGTTTTGCTATTTCCACAAAAGTAGTCAATCACCAGCAAGTATTGATCGTCCTTCCACTGAAACAGATCTGCTCCAACCTTTGTCCAAGGTCTCTCAGGGAATTCAGTGGGAATCAATGTCTCTTTGAAGTTCTTCCGATGGCTTGCACAAATGTCACACTTCTCCACCTTTTGCTGAAGCTGTGCACTGAGACCTGACCACCATACTGATTGCTTAGCACGTTCTCGACACTTAGCTATACCTTGGTTTGCGGTGTGCAATTTTTCCAAGATATCACTCTGTAAAGATTTCGGAATTACCAGTCAACAGCCTTTTAACAGCAGTCCATTTTCTACCGTTAACTCCCCAGCAAATTGGAAGTATGGCTGCACCATGGCTTCAACTCTTCTTTTGGTTGGCC